ACGATATGAGCTATAATACAAAACTTATTTCTGGTTTTTTACCAACAGTTTCCTATAACAGGAAAAGGTGTCAACAAGGAATGTCTATTCCATTGACATTAAGCACACCAATCTTATATATTGTTTCAAACTTAGGTTCAAAGTGTTATTCGAATGTCGACAGAAACTATTATGACCAAAAGATACTTATGCGTATAAACAATACTTTCTCTGCTGGTTTGCCTATTGTTCATTCGAATGCAGAATTTTCAACCTTAGTGAACTCAAACACTTTGGCAAGTATAACGTTGACATTAGTTGACGCAAACTTTGTTCCTGTAAAACTTTTTGTCCTATGTATTTGTCAATGACGGCAGAAAGTTTCGAATTGGAAGATGCAACTGGTGAAAGTATTGTATTACAAGAACAACTTCAACAACAAATAGCTCAAGAACAACAAATGCAACAAATGCAACAAATGCAACAAAAAGTCAAGAATAAAAAAAATATTTTTTTTATTTTTATAAAAATGTACAGAATAGATGTTTCAGATTTTTATGACTTCCAAGCATTCAGAAATATGTGTCCATTTCGAGACTATAACAAAGCAGTCGAGAATTTGAAACGTTTAGTCATTTATGTCGACTCTGCCCAGAATGTTATGTTATGAAAGAATGGGATGTAGTCTTTAACAACCAAGAGCAACAATAGTGTCTGAACAAGAATGTAGACAGAAACTTAAGAAAATAAAAGTCGTACAAGTTGGCATGAAGATGTTAGATGCTTGGGATATCTTATTGTCAAAGTTAGAAGATTTTTCAGTTCGAGTATAAAGTTCTATACACCTTCTCCAAACTTCTATTCTATCTTCACTGGATATAAATACGAACAAGTAGAATGGAAAGAAAATATTATAGAAGCTTGGTTAGACCATGTCAAAGAAATTATATGCAATGGAAACGAAAGAGTCTATGAGTATATCTTATGTTGGTTTGCAAACATCTTACAACATCCAAGTGCTAAAAATGAAACTGCTCTCATTATAATTGGAAAGCAAGGAACTGGTAAGAACACATTCTTTACAGATATTTTGTGCAAACTGTTAGAAGGTTATTCGAATCCGAATATGACAAACTTAGAAAACATCTGCGGTAAATTTAACTCTTCAATTGAGAATATGAAACTTATAGTATGTAACGAACTTCAAAGTATAGATACAACAAAAGTTTTGAACTCAGATGCTTTGAAGAGTCTTATAACAGACAAAGTTGGAGTTGTTGAAAGAAAATATAAAGACCAAAGAGTTTGTGAAAATGTTGCAAACTTCATTATGGTTTCAAACAATGCTGTTCCGATGAAGTTAGAAAGTTCTGACAGAAGATATGTAGTTGTCAGAACGTCAGAAGCTCATATGCAAGATACAGAATATTTTGACGACTTAGCAGAAACTTTGACATCTGACTTTTACAACCATTTGTTCTCATATTTTATGACATTAGATATTTCAAAGTTCAATCCAAGACAAATTCCACATACCGAAGAGAGACAAACATTGTTAGAAGCAAACAAGAGTGTATATGAACTGTTCATAGATGAAACTGACTTTGAGTGTTTAGATGAAAGGTCATTGTACGATTCGTATAAACAATATTGTCAAGAATATGGTTATATGACAGCGTCTAAACGAACATTCTTGGCAAATGTCAAAAGTCTTTTAGACGTACAGAATGGTGTATATACAAAGAAAAATTTTTCTGAGTAAATTTTAAAAAAAATATTTTTTTATCCGATAGAAAAGATGGCAAAATTCATCTCAGTAAACAAGTACATGTCAGGACTTAAAGAAGAACTAGACCCATTCACATATTTGAATGTTTACTTCTACCATTTTGAAAAGTCTTCATTCAGCAAAGTTTGGAACATCGAACCAGTTAAGTTTGCTATTGTGACTAAAAATGGTGCGAAATTTGAAGACTTAGACATAGAAGGTTTGTTAGCAGTCAAAGAAAGTTTTGACAGAAGGTTTTCAAACCTTAAAGAAGGCAAAGCATACAAACTTGTTATACCTTATGAACCAAAGAAAGCAGACGACTATGAATATTATGAGTCTAAGATAGTTGAAGTTCAAGGTAAATTGGGTAAAAAGATTTTAGAGTCTAAGCCGTGTTTACTCCTAAAGAGGAAGAGAACATTGACATTGACCCAGAAATGTTCTAAAAATAAAATTTTATTTTTACATGTCAAATTTCTTTTTCTCTGGAACTGGTTCAGGTTCTTTCTTCTCTTCTTCTACTTTCTTTTCTTTCTTTTCTTTCTTCTTCTTTTCTGGTGGAGTTATGTCAAATTTGGCGCAACTATATTTATGTAAAAGTTCTTTGTCCTTTAATAGCTCTTCTATTCTGTTTTCTATTTCATCTTCAAGAACGGCGCATGTGTCTTCTTTGCATTCTAAGAAATTTTGTTGGACTTCATCTTTCCAAGAGGCGTCATCTCTGTCAACAAGTCTGTCATTGACAAATTTTAAGACTTCTCTGCTTAATGTTTTATGGTTCTTGTCATATTCCCAGAAACAGAACTTTAGAACAAATTCCCCTTTCTTGTTTACACTATGTAAGATTTTATGGTCGACAGATGTTTTGCTGTCGAAAAGCTTGTCTCGAATATAGATAGCGAAATCGCTAGACATTTTCTAAAAGATAAAAATTTTAATTTTTCTAAAAATATGTTAGAAAAAAGTTTGCTGACATTGACAAGAAATTTGAGAATGTTTTAAACAAGAACAAGAGGAAGTTAGAAAAATGCTCAGATAAAACCTATACATGACAAGTTCTTATTTGCTCAGAATGGTATAACAGGTCTAATTGCACCACCTGGGTCGGGTAAGACTTTCACTTATCTTAAAATGGCTGCACAACAACAAGAACTAGATGAGAAGAACCCATTCTATGAAGTTAGTTGTCATTTGTAGTACTTCTGGTCAATTTGACCAAACCGTCAATTCGTTCAAAGATATTATAAAGAAGTCTAAGTTAGTATGTATAAAGGATACTGAGTTTGTTGGATTGGATAAAGAAGTACCAAAGAAGAGTTTTGAAGTATAATGCTATAAATGAGTATATAAATTCTAAGTTCAAAGACCCTAATGAGGAAATGCAGAGAATATTAGAGAAGAAACACTTCAGAAACAAACAGAAAGAGATAGAATACATTTCGAAGAAATTGCAATCTTACGATTGGAAGACATACCCTCATAGGTGTCTTCTTATCTTAGATGACTTTGCTTCTCATCCTTGTTAAAGAACAGAGAACAAGACATGTGTCGAATTCTTAAGAAGCTCAGACACTTTAACATCTCAGTTGTCATTTGTGTACAGACAGCAAAGAGTTTAAGTAAGGATGTAAAGAGAATACTTACTGACATTGTACTTTTCCCCGGATTGTCCGAAGACGATTTCATGGAACTTATGAAAGAGTCCATGGCAGGTAAGTTTGACAGACATGAACTATGGGAGAAGTACAAAGTCATACAAGACCCTCATACTTCTTTCAGAATTCATATCTACGCGAACAAAGTTCAAATTGTAAAAAGTCAAGCTTGAAAAATAAAGAGTTCATTTACTCTACTTGTTTGAAGTTGTCAAAATACTCTGTTATTTTTCACGATTTTCATAGAGTTTTAGGCGACCCAGAAAAAAGTCGGTCTCGCTGTTCTTCACTGTTTTCGTACGGAATCTCTTCTCTCGGTTTTCCGAGGGAAGCAAGCATATGCCATTTTTTGACGAAGTGAAGGTTTGCACTTCGTCAAAAAAATCCCTGAAATCAAGAATTTTGTTGCTGAATTCAGCAAAAATAATGTTTAGGGTAGAAGGTGAGATCTCACCTGTTTTCTCACCTGTTTTTTCACCTCAGTTATTTTATAAGCGTTTTACATGGTAAACGTTATTTTTTAAATTTTGTGAAAACTCAACGGTTTGACACATGCCCTAAAAATTATTTTACTCAGAATTTTGTTGCTGAATTCAGCAAAAATAATGTTTAGGGTAGAAGGTGAGATCTCACCTGTTTTCTCACCTGTTTTCTCACCTCTTTTTTTATAAGCGTTTTACATGGTAAACGTTATGAATTCGTGAGACTCTAAACAGTTTCGTAGCTTCTATTTCTTCTTTTAGTACATCGAATGTTTTAACGATACCGAAAGTTTCTTTATATTTCTTCTTGACGTCAGATAGAAGGAAATCTTCTGCTGTTGGATAGTTTTTGTTCAGAAATTCTAAAAAAAAATAAAAAAATAAAAAAAAATAAAACTAACTTTATTTTTTATTTCGGGAAAATTCATGAAAATTCAAGAGGTGAAAAAAGAGGTGAAAAAACAGGTGAGATCTCACCTTCTACCTAAACATTATTTTTTGGTGTAAATTTCCTAAACTGACTGACTGACTGACTGACGGCACAAAGTGGCATAACGAAAACATTAATATATATAAAATTCATGAAAATTCAAGAGGGTAGAAAACAGGTGAGGAAAACAGGTTAGATCTAACCTTCTACCCTAAATTATATTTTTACTGAATTCAGCAACAAAATTCAAATTGTAAAAAAGTCAAGCTTGAAAAATAAAGAGTTCATTTACTCTGCTTGTTTGAAGTTGTCAAAATACTCTGTTATTTTTTCTTTCAGTAGCGGTAAGTCTTCTTTGAAGGTAAGTATTGTACAACCTTTCATATCATAGTGTGTTTGAGGTAACGTATCTTGAACTATTTGTTTCACATCTTCATTCGGTGTCATTGAAATCGGTAAGTTTTCGCGATAGAACCAATTTCTGTCAGATTTGTAAATCTTAGCAAGGTCGTAAAAGCTTTTGTTGTTTCTTCTGACTAAATGCAACATAACCATATCTTTATCTTCTTCATTTTCCAACTCTTCAGTATAAATCATATACTTATAGTTCTTTTCCTTTCCTTTTGGTACCGAACGTGGTATTCTTTTCTGAATGCTTTTGTCTTTTCTTTTGCTTCAATGACTTCATCTTTTGCTTGAAGTTTCTTTTCCATCTCTTCACGTTCTTGTCTATGAATTTCGTCAAGAAGTCTGTAAATATTCCAAGCATAACGAGGCGAAGCCCACATTGCAACAGCATTTACAAGAAGTCTATGTACATAATATCCTCTCAAACCATTTGGCAATTTTTCACGATTTTCATACGGAATCTCTTCCCTCGGTTTTCCGAGGGAAGCAATCATATGAGGAAATTCTTCTAAAAGTTCTTTTGTCTGTTGGTTTTCAAACCAATGATATGCTTGCTTTGTAGAACGAAGAGCATTCAAAATACTTTGCATTTGGTACATATCGTCTTTGACTGAACGAATGAGACGGAGTTGTTTGTTAAACTGTATGTACTCGTATTCTTCATTTATAGCTTCATGAACGATAGCAGTTGTTGTGTTCTCTGTTGTTGACATATCTGTCTTTACATACAAAATAAAAAAAATATTTTATAAAAAATTAGCGTTATTTTTTCTATCTTTCACAAAAGACCAAAAATAAACGCTTTACATGTATTTTTCAGCAACTTCGTCAAATAATTTTATAGCTTTATCTATCTCATCTACTTCAAACGTTTCTTTACCTTTTATGGGAGCACCATATATTTTCTCAAACTTTTCAAGTAGTTCTGTTTCTGCAGCTCTCATATCATTAACAAACACAACCTTGACTCTATTGACTGTACTGTCATATCTTTGAGTTATATTATATGTTCTTCCTATCTTATATCTCTTTGTATTGAAGTCCTTCGGTTTCTGAACGATGTAAAGTAAGCCTTCACTGCAACGTTCCGTATCGAATGAACCATATGTTATGAAGTTATATCCAACAACTGGGTCTAACCATAACAAAACTATTGGTATAAGACTTTTGTCTATAAGATATGCTGCAGTTCCATAGAATCTTACCGATATCATAAGCTCAGGATTTCTTGTCAAAATTTTCTGACTAGAAGCAATTCTAACCCAGTCCTTTGTTTTCTTTCCAGATGGAGATATAATGTCTGACAAAGAATATTTGTTGTATTTCTTTGAGTATCTTACGTTTAAATTACCTATTCTAACCACTTTGGTGTCATTGTCTATCTTTCTAACTGTTTCAAACTCAATGTTTGTCATTTCTGTTCTTACATACAAAATAAAAAAATAAATAAAAATAAAACTAACTTTATTTTTTCTGTCTTAAGGAAAATCATGATTTTCATAGAGTTTTGGCGACTAAGTTTTTTTACTTACTCGCTGTTCTTCACTGTTTTCATAGAGTTTTGGCGACCCAGAAAAAAAACGGTCTCGCTGTTCTTCACGATTTTCATAGAGTTTTGGCGACTAAGGTTTCTTACCTACTCGCTGTTCTTCACTGTTTTCATACGGAATCTCTTCTCTCGGTTTTCCGAGGGAAGAGATTCCATGTTTTGTCAAGACTTCATTGTAAATGACCAAAAATAATGTTTAGGTGAAGAGGTTAGATCTAACCTGTTTTCATACGGAATCTCTTCTCTCGGTTTTCCGAGGGAAGAGATTCCATGTTTTGTCAAGACTTCATTGTAAATGACCAAAAATAATGTTTAGGTGAAGAGGTTAGATCTAACCTGTTTTCTAACCTGTTTTCTCACCTGTTTTCTAACATGGTCTAAAACACACAAAACTCATGATTTTTGGTCATTTTTCAGCAAAAATAATGTTTAGGTGAAGAGGTTAGATCTAACCTGTTTTCTAACCTGTTTTCTCACCTCTTTTTTTCACAACCGTTTTACATGGTAAACGTTATTTTTGGAATTTTGTGAAAACTCAACGGTTTGACACAAGCCCTAAAAATTATTTTACTCAGAATTTTGTGCTGAATTCAGCAAAAATATATTTTAGGGTAGAAGGTTAGATCTAACCTGTTTTCTACCCTCTTTTCTACCCCAGTTATTTTATAAGCGTTTTACATGGTAAACGTTATGAATTCGTGAGACTTTAAACAGTTTTGTAGCTTCTATTTCTTCTTTTAGTACATCGAATGTTTTAACTATGCCGAAAGTCTCTTTATATTTCTTCTTGACGTCAGATAGAAGGAAATCTTCTGCTGTTGGATAGTTTTTGTTCAGAAATTCTAACATGTCCATTTTATCTTCTGCTGGTTTTTCTGCTTCTTTCTTTAAATCTGCATAGTCGTTTCTCATTGTTTCTATCTCTTTGACGGAGTAGTTATATCTCCTCATTGCTGCTTTACATTTAGAACATTGCGGGTTCATTTTTGCGTTATATTCTGAAACCTTACCTGCTAAAACAACTAAAGCGTCAATTGCTCTCTTCATCTCAAACATAGCGGGTCTTATTTGTTTGTTGCATACTTTGCCTCTTCTATCTTTATCTCTTATTTCCCATACACATTCAGCAACTAACGAAACAAAGTTGTCGTAGGTCTTAAATTCTTCAGATTTATATATGTCAGAGATGTTCTTATATACCATGTCGCAATCTTTGTCCATAACCTTATGGTTGCAATGAAATCCTAGAAACTCATAGTTTACCTTTCGTATGAACTTCTTTATTTCTACTGAGTCAGTTGCTTTGACTTCTATTTCATCGAATTCAGGAATAGTGAGCTTTTGTTGTTGGATTTCAGGTAGTTTAGGCAAATGGTCAATAATGTCCTGCATTTCATAAAGATACTGTTCATTTGTTTCATCTTTCGCACTACAGTCTAAATTACATGTTAAAAGTTCTTGCTTTATCTTCTGGATTTCTGTTTCAAAAGTATATGAAGAAGGAATGAAGCTTTTCATCTCTACTAACATAGATGTTGGATTCATGACTAAAGAGTTTGGTGCTGTTGTTTGAATTGTTGTTGTGCCGATTGTTGACATTTTTATTTTTTTATACAAAATAAAAAAATAAAAAAAAATAAAACTAACTTTATTTTTTATTTCGGGAAAATTCATGAAAATTCAAGAGGTGAAAAAAGAGGTGAAAAAACAGGTGAGATCTAACCATCTACCCTAAATTATATTTTTGGTGTAAATTTCATGATTTTCGAGAGTTTTAGACCATGTTAGAAAAGAGGGTAGAAAACAGGTTAGATCTAACCATCTACCCTAAATTATATTTTTGGGTCCTTTACACTCATTACGAAGAAGTCTTGACAAAACATTTACGAAGAAGTCATGAAAATTCAAGAGGTGAAAAAAGAGGGTAGAAAACAGGTTAGATCTAACCATCTACCCTAAATTATATTTTTGGGTCCTTTACACTCATTACGAAGAAGTCTTGACAAAACATTTACGAAGAAGTCATGAAAATTCAAGAGGTGAAAAAAGAGGGTAGAAAACAGGTTAGATCTAACCATCTACCCTAAATTATATTTTTGGTGTAAATTTCATGAGTTTTGTGTGTTTTAGACCATGTTAGAAAACGTGTTAGAAAACGTGTTAGATCTAACATTCTAACATAAACTTTATTTTTGCTGAATTCAGCAACAAAATGAACGAGGTCAGGATGTATGTAAATACCTTTGAATTCATTCATAACACCCTTAGTAAGCTCATAAAATGCTTGTTTTGAGGTCGAGCCACTTTTGGCTCCACCGTATTCTTTCAACCAAAACTCAAGAATTTCCTGCATGAATTTTGTATAAAAAGCAACCGTCGGAATTCAGACTGTTGCTATATTCTTCACAAAACATTTACGCTCATTACGATGAAGAAGTCTTGACAAAACATGTACGATGAAGTCATGACAAAACATATACGAAGAAGTCTTGACAAAACATTTACGATGAAATCATGACAAAACATTTACGCTCATTACGATGAAGAAGTCTTGACAAAACATGTACGATGAAGTCATGACAAAACATATACGAAGAAGTCTTGACAAAACATTTACGATGAAATCATGACAAAACATTTACGCTCATTACGATGAAGAAGTCTTGACAAAACGTGTACGATGAAGTCATGACAAAACATATACGAAGAAGTCTTGACAAAACATTTACGATGAAATCATGACAAAACATTTACGCTCATTACGATGAAGAAGTCATGAAAATTCAAGAGGTTAGAAAACGTGTTAGAAAACGTGTTAGATCTAACCATCTACCCGACATTCTCGTCAAATACAAAAAAATGAAAAAAATGACACTTTTTCATTAGATAACTGTTATTTTTTGACGAAGTGAAGATTGACACTTCGTCAAAAAAATCCCTGAAATCATATCTTTTATACAAAAAAATACAAAAAATGACACTTTTTCATTAGATAACTGTTATTTTTTGACGAAGTGAAGATTGACACTTCGTCAAAAAAATCCCTGAAATCATATCTTTTATACAAAAAAATACAAAATAAAACTAACTTTATTTTTTCTATCTTAAGGAAATTCATGAAAATTCAAGAGGTGAAAAAAGAGGTGAAAAAACAGGTGAGATCTCACCTTCTACCCTAAATTATATTTTTGGGTCCTTTACACTCATTACGAAGAAGTCTTGACAAAACATTTACGAAGAAGTCTTGACAAAACATTTACGAAGAAGTCTTGACAAAACATTTACGAAGAAGTCATGACAAAACATTTACGAAGAAGTCATGAAAATTCAAGAGGGTGAAAAAAGAGGTGAAAAAACAGGTGAGATCTAACCTTCTACCCTAAATTATATTTTTGGTCCGGGAACAACTTTCTCTCAATTGGAGCTGTAGCATAATCTTTGCGTAAGCGGTTCAGACCTTCTTCGAACTCTTGGTCTCTCTTCGATTTGGATTGAGATTGGAATTGCTGGGGTGGAGCTTGCTGGAACATCCAAGGGTTGGGGAAGTAAGGCATAGGCTGAGGAGGGTAGTTCGGGAAGCCTTGTGGTGGGTAGTAACCTTGAAGTGGAAATTGGTAGAAATTCGGAGGTACTTGCTGGAACTGAGGTTGCTGAGGAGACTGTTGTGGTTCTTTAGGTTCCTCTGGTTTGGGAATGGACTGGGTTGGTGGGACGTGGGACATTCGTTTGTGGCTTAACCGTCGGACCACAACGATAAAAATCTCTGCTACTAGCAGTACTGCTACTGACAGTAGCAGTACTTTTACTGATAGTAGCAGTACTTTTTCTGACAGTAGCAGTACTTTTTCTGACAGTAGCAGTACTTTTACTGACAGTAGCAGTACTTTTTCTGACAGTAGCAGTACTTTTTCTGACAGTAGCAGTACTTTTACTGACAGTAGCAGTACTTTTTCTGACAGTAGCAGTACTTTATCGTCGAAAACCCTCTCAAATTTTCCTTTTTACTGACAGTAGCAGTACTTTTACTGACAGTAGCAGTACTTTATCGTCGAAAACCCTCTCAAATTTTCCTTTTTACTGACAGTAGCAGTACTTTTACTGACAGTAGCAGTACTTTTACTGACAGTAGCAGTACTTTTACTGATAGTAGCAGTACTTTTACTG